AATTGGGGACTGGGGTTGGTCGGATAATTGAAAAGTCGGATAACCGAAAAGTATGAAAAAATTCATTATTAGTGTAGTATATTATTATATCTCATGTAATTAGTATATTAGTATATCGTTATTAACCTACTTCGCGTTGAATTTTCATCGATGTTAAACCTAACAAATTTTTTTTAAAAATAATAATCGTCGCTATTGTATCGTTAAAAATTAGAAAATTAAGCCTCGTTTAAATACTGGCCCCCTTTCATGGTCGATCCAGTGTTGCCAGCTAAAACATGTAAAAATACTATTAAAGTAGCCAAGACATAGCCAAATATTGTAGCGCCACATCACTAGCAAACATTTGAATTTGCCGACTGGAACGGTCGGTTAATCGGGGATCGGATAATCGATGCTCTACTGTAATTAAAATCCAAATGAATTGAAAATTAAAACAAAACTTTCAAGCGGTTTTTAAAATTAATTTTTAAATTTACGTTATTTGTGTGTAGTGGTGAAAGAACATTTTGCTTTTTATATACAGATTTAACAGTTGTATTTTTATTTATATATTGGATCCTTTTTAATTAAGATTAATTATTTGAAAGTTTTTCTAGCTTTATTTTATGTTTTACTGTTTTTATGGTTTCATTACCTTCCCAAACATTATAACACGATTTCGGTTCGTTCTGTTACCGATAAATCGGTCCCCACTGTTTATAAAGCTATAAATAACTTCAGCACGTGCATAGTCTTGGATCGTCATGGAGGACTCCATCCGAGACTAGAACAATTACACCTCACGTCCTAAATCTACATTGACACATTCATACATCACTAGACTCAACAGATTTTATTTTTTTGAACCGAAATTTTTATTGACGGAACACAATTTGGGAACCCCTGCATTACAGGAAACTCAGCCTAAATTATGCCACAAGCAGTGTACTTGTGCATAAAGTATGCTAAGCAGAAATAATCTTTCCATAATTACAAGCACTTACTGACCAGCATGCCATCCAGCATTCACATTTTTTATTTAGTAAACTACATAATTTTAAAATTAAAATGATGCATTATTTAATGACTGCTGTAATTATTTCATTTTTATAAATAATCTTTGATTACATTTATATGAATAATCATTAGAACTTATTTATAATAGAAGCTTAAAGTATATGATAACTTCGAAAATAATGGACAATGATTGAAAGCAACAACTTACTGGACATATCCATATCGATGGTAATTGTGCTACACTCAATGACCTCCTCATCTGCTGCGATTCCAAGTTGAATTCTAGTAATAATAAAATTATCAGGGCAGAAATCAAATAGAAATGAAAGCAAAATTTAAATGTTATAATTAGATTGTCTTCCTTCATGTTTTTCTATTAAAATATTGATGATAATTTCCAGAATACAGTACTACCATCAGTTAGAAATCCAAAATACGTTACTGTTTACCGATCAGATATTATTGCACTTACATAATAATTTATATGCCATTTTTTTCTTTCCTTCGAATATTTTACGTCCAGAAAATTAAATCGGAATATTTTTCTCGCGAGGTGCGAGGTGCCATAGTAATAGTATTTGCTACACGGTCGTAATTTGTCCCATTTTGGTGGCCTAACTCGTAACGAAGTTAATTATGGTTGACAACGTATAAGAAATATGTCCACCAAAAATACAAATTCGATTCGAGCTCGGATGACTACCTAATTAATATTTCGTCACCATAAGTGTAACCTAATGCCCTGCCACGCGGCCATCCTTTCGACGTTTAGGAAGAATCAAAACCTCTCAAACTGCGTTATATACAGGCTTCCGGTGTTTACAATGTCTGAAACGTATCTAAGTTTCTAATAAACGCATTAGAAGTTGCACATTCAAAGAAACTATAAAACTTCAATTATTTCTAGTTTTGTCCAGTCCGACAGTCCCACTGTATGCCATTTACGAAACATTTATCTTATGTTCAAACTTTGCAAACACGCCTGAAGCGAGAAAATTTCTAAAAATACGTCACTAAGAAACATCTTCCGATTGGTTCTATAAAATTTGAAGCGATTACTGGTGATTGCCGTCACACTTTTCACACGATCGTTATCACTTTTCTTCGTTTGTCGTAAATTCTATGACGTATTTTGTGAATACGAAGTATTAAAATATCGCTAGTTTCGAATAACTACGATATTGAAATTAATGAAATATTGATTTTCTAATTCCAAACCAGGTTTTAAAAATTGAGATATACTTGAGTCTTTAATTTCTAATTACACCATTAATGAGCATTCTTTCATCAATTTTTTTTCTGTTCAGAAGCACTCAAATCTTTTCAGTTCTCAAAAGAATGTTAACATAATGTAAGTCAAAGCCTTACGAATGAGTGAATACACTCGGTTCTGTTTTTACAAGGTAGATATGCCGAAATAAAACAGTGTAGGAGAAAATTATGTCCTTATAGAAAGATAGGAGATTGGTTCCAGAGTGTAAAAGCCAGTAAAAATGATAGGTAAACCAATTAACACAACACGGCATAATTAAACGAAAGATTTCAATTTTAGTTAATAAGTAATTTTAAACTGTCCCTTCTTTGATTTATTTACAAAATCTATATATATATAAATGGACGTGTGTGTCCCTATATTTCACTTTTCAGCCAAAACTACACATCGCACATGAACGGTGTTTGTATGTGGTAGTAGCCCCAAGTCTCCATTCGTGCACTATGGTGGTTGCGTCTCGATAGCTATAAGGGTGCGGGAGATATGAGGCTGAAAGTGGTTGAAAGTGGTTTTCTATTTCGAATTTTATGTTTGAATTTGAATTCGAACATAAAATTTGAATATTGGTTTTATTATAGAACGATTGTAAACGTTCCAGAAACGTTGAAAATAGTTCGTTTGACTGGACGTGAACAGGAGACGTTCAGAAATAGAATCGGGACCAGGTCTCTAATTAGTCTGGAAATGGGGGACCTAATTCTTGCATTCTATGAAAACGGATAAGATTGGCTATAATGTAATTATCTTAATCTTCACTATCGTTACTTTTTGCCCAGCGAAGCGGGTCCTTGCAGCTAGATTCTAGATTACTTAGAAAAACAGTCTTTTATATATATAAAAACAACTATATTACATACAAACGTACGAACAAATAAAAACCCAGCGAAGCGGGTCCTTGCAGCTAGTATAAAATAAAACTTGTGCGAATAATATAATTTTCTTCGATTTTTCAATTAAACACCAAATTCCTGAGTTATGCCATTCGATATTAGGCTAAAAACTGATTTCATATTAAAAGAAATCGGAAGAAATGCAATCGTCAAACTTTGAATAGTCAGAAATTTATTTCAGTCATGGAACGAAAGATAGATTATCTCTTCACAAATTCACAATAAAATTTACTTGAGCATTATGTTATATGCAAATTCTAAACTTTCTTTCTTTTTTTTTAAAAAAAAAGGCAGTTTTCTAGGAAAAAAGTACGAAAATTCTTTAAAAAGGCAAATTTATTGAAACATGTAAGAATGCGTCTATATTAGTAAAAATTTGCATTGTGCGTTGTATTCGGCGAAAATTTTTGTCCGCCCGAATAAATTTTCGTAAGTAGATGTATGCACCGCACAGGAACGCGCACAAGAATTTTCGCCACGTTCAACGCACGCGATTCATTCAATATTGATTTTTGAAAATACATCAAAAGGATTTGAGCCGCACTCGTATTTGGATGTGGAAACTTAGTTTTTCGTGCCAGTCACTGGAGTAGGTGCTACTGCTACTGTGAGACGCCTGCGTTTTTCGTACACTTGTATTAAAAGTATCATACTCTGTGTTTAACGCCATCATGGAAATTTACAAAACTAATCAATCGACAAAACAAGTACAGCAGCCTTTTAATATCTGTCCATTAAAAGTACTAAAACAAAAATGAGCGAGATACTACACTCGACTTGAGCGCCACGCACAGCGCATAACGCAAAAATTTATGTGGAAATATTCAGTTTTGCAGGGGAAATATTTATGCCGAATTCTACATTCAACGCACATTTTGATTTATTACATGATGGCCTCAATTACGAGTCACGTGGATTATGCAGATCGACTTCCATAAAGAAATTAAGTACCGACTGGAAGTATTATCCATTAATAAAACTAAATAATGAGGAGATTCGATTCCGATCGAGTTTTCATCTTCAAGTTCCGTAACGTATCATCTTATCGTAGTAGTAAGATGCTACGTTACCGAACGGTTAGATTGGATGAGCTTAGTAAGTCTACTTTCGTGTATCGATTACATCGATGACGATATGGCCTACACGTGGAAGTATATTAAACTTACCAACTCCATCTGTACAGAATTAACCTCATTCATTAAACGAATACACAAACGTACATTTGTGTATTCGTTTCAATACAATACAGTAGTATAAAAATATACAAACCTTTCAAATAAACATTCTGTAAAATCCTCGTCCACGCTGATGGCGGCCCACACTTTCCCATTTTTGACGTGTTCGACTGCAGCACTTGTACTATTATATTCCATCTATAGGTATATAATTAGCATTTACGTGATAAGGGAAACTGAGCATATTATTTTAACAATAATTACTTTAAATTAAAGCATTTGAACTTACTCTTTTAACTGTTTTACTAGACAAGAGACCAAGAAATTCTTTTCCCATGTGGTCACCTATTTCGTTATTGATAACAGCAATTTTAAGATCGAACGGTTCTCTTCCAACACAAATGCAAAATAATGCAGCGTGGATGGCGGGTAAGAATACTTGTATTAGTAATAAACTACGAAAAAATAAATTCAATTGAAAGACAGTTTAATTATTAAAATTTTCTTTGTAACAATTACGGATATTTTGATATATATATTTCTATAATGTTAAAGAGACATTTCAGTAAAGTACTGTACATTTGAAGTTCAATATTTACATGTTCTCTCGAAATAGATTCTGTAACAATTTACGAGTACAGTACGCTACAGACTTTGAATTTCTTTAATTGCTCCAATATCTGTTTGGATCCTTACAGTTGGAGAAAGCCATATCAAGTTTATGGACATAAATATACGTACTATTTCAAACCTTTGACTTGTACTAACGATCAAAAGTGGGCTATTTCAACTTCGTGATGAGGGGTCGTCCATAAATTACGTAATGTTATTTTTATATTTTTCAACAACCATTCCAACTCCGTAACGCTGTCGCACATACCCACCCTAAAATTACCCAACGCATAGCCACCATCGACCCCTTAACTGTATTAAGAAATAATGCTCGGCACGGATACCGAACGTTAGATTATTTTATCAGTTACATGTGTGACAAATATAGTTTCTTATGCAACACTTCAGAAACAAAAATGAATCACTTGTTACCCGTCAGTTGAGACTCTAACATTACGTAAAGTTATTGAAAACACTCACCCCTTGTATCGTAGCGATTACTTGCATATTCATCACTCATATCTGCGTTACATAATTTATGAACCGTCCGAATTGATTCGGAATTTCATTTTAGAAGTATTGCCAGAACTTACTATTAATTTCGTATTAATTTGTATTAGGGACAGAGATTAAAATGAGTTATTCGAATTATCTCATGTTGCTAACATTTAGTATTAACTTTATGAGTAATTCAAACTACAAATGAATTTCATAATTCACTTTAAAGGAGACGGGACCATAAATAAGCTGAATTAAATCGTTTTGATCTCCAATGTTAGTAATTTGAAGTACAAATTCTAATTTTGTCGATATAAAATAGTACTAAATTTTGGCAGTAAATTACGTGAAGTTTAGGTAGTCCACTTTTAATCGTTACTACAAATTAGGATTGAATTGATGCAATAAGACAACGAAACCATGGACTATCCTGCCAAAGGGGAGTACCTTCGGGATTATTTTATATAGAAAACTGGCCCTTAATTAAACACATAAAGAAAACCCGGAAAAATCTAAGTAAATCTAGCACGGCCACGTGGAGTTTTACGAGTTGAACATTAGTATTTGGGCGCAAACCCGCGCACAACTACTAGTGTTCAATGGTGTTATGCACTCGGACATTGATGGGCCACTACAAATTAGGAATTTGAAATGCAGAATACTTATAGTAGGCTACATATATTTTTGTTCGTAAACTACATAGGGGCTTCTTCAACTTTACGGGTCTGTTCTGTATACAGTAGTTTTTCTTTTAAATACAGTGGTACCTCAGGTTACGAACGCCCCAGCATACGAAATTTTCAGGATACGACATGAAATTCGAACATATTTTTGCTCCACGATGCGAACAAAAACTCACCATACGACGTTACATTAGTTCGCATTTTTCATTTGTTTTTCTTACTACAGTTATTTTTTTAA